ATGATCTTCAGGTTGGGTTCGGGTCAGGTTCGGGTTGATGATCGACCCGATCCAAACCCGAAAATTATTAAACGGGTTGTATCGGGTCAAACCCGAACCCGACCCGAACTGACCCATTCGGAACACTACTAGGAACAAATAAAAATATTATAATTTTTGCTTGCCCTTGAAATAATTTTATGATAATCATACATCACAATATTTGTTTTTTCAATATTAGATGCAATTATTGTAATATAAAACATACTCGTTTACCTGATGTCCGAATAAAATCTGTTCGCAAAAAACTAAAAATTCTGTACGTTGGGTAATTTAAATCACAGCGTGGTTTTGTAAATAAGAGCTCACAGTATGGTGTAGAGGTTTTAAAAAGGGTAAAAATGTTATAAAATTGAGTGTACATGTCTTTATCAGAGATAGGTTTGAGTGCTTATAGTTAATCCGCTAAAATATACTGTAGCAGTATTGTATTTATAATGTGATAAATTTTAAGATCATATTTACACAATAATTTTTATGTACCAAGAAAGAACTATCCAACTACAGTATTTATCGAAAAAATATCTTAACTATATTTTTACAGTGTAATATATGATCCAAATAAATGCACCACTTTATCTTAAATAGTATTACTGTATACGGCAATAAGAAAACTAGAGTTCCCCCGTGTTGTCATCAAAAATCATATCATTATCGCAGTTTTCACAATGAAAGTAATGGCCATCAAGTGAAATATAACCAATGCCGTTGGGTGGTGGTTGTGAAGGATTTGCATTTTGATGGAAAAGGGGAAGTTCGCAATATGATTTAGAAGATTTAGTATTTCCTAGCCAATGGGACTCATTGGGACACTCGTGATAACATTTTGCGTATTCAAGCTGATCCTGAGTTGAATAAGGGTCTAAAATAAGAAATTTATTATAAGAAAAAAAAAAAAGGAGAAAATTTAGTTCAACATAATGTGATATAGATTGAAAACCTTTAAATCCGCTACGCTCCCAGAAGAGATGGTGTGAGATAAAGTCCTTTGCCTGCTGGGGATTTGGATCGAATTGATCTAAAGTAAGAAAGAAAAAATTATAAGCATGTACTGTAGAATAAGATGTTAAAATTATTTGACAGAGAAATTTAGTAAGTAAAATACCTTCAACGTGTTTAATATAAGGGTTATTTGTATTTAATTTGCACGTTCCTTCATCTTTACAATAATCGACATGTAGATGACGCCCTATCTCTTTACAATACTATTTGATAATTTACATAGTGTACAAAACAAAGATAAAATAAAGTTTACAGTGAAATGGGATCAGGCAGAAATAATTTCAACATACCAAATTGCACAAGACAGGCAAATATTGATCGCTTATTTGCAATTTACAACTACTAAAATAATTAGAAATGAAATACAGATCAAAATTTTCATACTGTATATTACAAATACCACGAGAAAACGAAAATGTTAATATATCACACCTTGCGTATTTTATATCATGTTCACTCATAAAATCTGTTTGGTGCATATATCCATGTGATGTTTCGTGAAACGGTTGCGCGTGTCCATAAGGTAGAGTACACTAATGCAAAAAAAAAAAGAGAGAGGTTAATGCATTGTAAGTTGGATACTCTATATGCAGAGGAAAAAGAACTTACATAATATTCGCAAAACTGACACTTGACATCACAGAAATGAACAATATAGTTATCTAGGGAATGAGAATGTGTCCCTTCATGCCTAAACATATTTGGAGGAATCTTTTTACAACACAATAATCTTTCACCTAATTGAATATACTATAATAATAAAGAAGTTTAAACCAGAGTATTGAAAGTGAGAAAAAGGTATTTTCGACGTTTTTTACCTTGGCTGAAATCGCTAGTTTGTCTAAGTTCCCTTGACATATCTCTTCTCGTTTTTGAGGCTCGGTCAAAATTCTGCATATTCCGGGCCCTTCACAAGTTTCGTGACATTGATGTTCTTTTCTATATTTAATTAAAGGAAAAAAAAAAAGCTAACTAAGAAAAAGTACGCAGTTATATATGTACAATTGAAATGCACAATATTGACCCGCAAAAATGGTTTATATGATTCTCCGAGTACGCATGGAAGTGATCATCACTTTGACACATTCTTTTGCACCTAAGGTAATGTTAAAAATTATTACTGAAGGAACAAAGAGCACATATGTTTGAGTAATTCTGTTTCATACTCGGGTATGGGACATATAACAGGACACTTTTCATTCTCACAACCTTTAAAATATTATATGTAAAATAAATATAAACAATAAATATTCATAAAACATCTAATACAGTATTTGATGGTTATCTGATTTCTTACGATGATAATTATGTTCTTTCTCACAATCAATAATACACTTTAATGGGCACCGATAGTTTCCTTTTTTTGTATATGTTGATAAAGAACAAGGTTCACCACAATAATGACCTGGAATATGTAGAACGTTTATAATACGGTACTGTAATTAGTGGAAATTGAAAAATCTAATATCACTGGCAATGTATTTAATTTGCTCACGTTTTGACTGACACATATGTTCGCTATCCTCGTGATCTATTTCTTTTGCACAAACTTTTTGACAATTACGCTTGTTCTTCAAACTACAAGGCTTTCCGCATACATGGCCACCGGTATTGTCACATGTATGCCTTCCATCATGACCAGCTTCGTTTTCACACCGAGAAATGTGTCCTCTATTTAAATGTTCTTCCAGAAAATGGCATTTATGATTTGTTAAGCAATCGTGTTCATTTTCATGATCGCGGTTTTTTATACATCGAAGTCCACAATGGGAACAGTTCATTCCACACAAAGTCCAATGGATAGTAATCTTGCTTATTTCTTGCTCCATGGTACGACGTCCAATTTGGATGTCATAATGATCTTGCGAAAAATTACAGGTATTTTGTTCAAACCATTCTATGACTCTCGAAGCTCGTCGATAAACAATATATTTGAAAAATTGATTAAGTCTTTTAAACCATTTAGTATCATCGGAACAATCTTTTCTTTGCTGGATGTTTTGCGTAAAGTACGTTCTCAAATCAGCAGATAAACATACAAAATCGATGTTTTCTTCGAAAAGTAATATGCCCTCATCCGAAAAAATTTCTCTATAATTATCGAAATCTTCCGATATTTCAGCTAACTTGATCACAGGGTCATCTATTTTTGTTCCTATATCATGATTCTGTGTACATAAAATTCAGAATATTTAAATTAAGAACCAGCTACTATTTTTTCATAAAAATAACGTAACACCTACCATCAAGTTTACAATTGTTGGATTATTTTCTTCTACACCAATGGATATAGCCGTTTGAAGCAATCTCTTTAATGTAGACACGCGAATTTCGACCAAATTATCATCCAAAGAACCCCAATCGCATGTCTAATAGATCACGCACCAAATTAAAAATTAGTTGTGTATTTACTTGTTAAAAAATGATTACCGTATGTTTTTACCATAATTTTTGCCATAATAATTTTTGTGTTCTGTAAAAAGGTTCGTGCATTTGTGTATTTTCCTTCTTGTTTCTCTAGTGTATCTTTTAAACTTTTTAGGCGTGTAAACCTATTAAATAGCATTTGTGTGTTATCTGTACTGTTTATCTCGTATTGATTTTATACGACAGCAAATATAATGTGCGTAGCCATTAAAATAAATTCAAATACATACCAACTATGAAAATATGATAATTCAATTCACAAAAAAAGGGGGGATGGTGAAAAAGAATAAGAAAATAGTATGTGTTAACTAATAGACAGGAAGTAACGTATAAAGAAATCTCAAAGATGCAAACCCTAGAAAAAAGGAAGAATACGTTAATTTTAGAAAACCAAAAAATAAAATAAAAAGTGTAGAACTAAATTTGGTACATTCCTTTTTCATGAAAAATCGGGTAAGGAATTAATATAATTCCATTTGGAAACATTCGAGTTATAAAATTGCCTTCTCCTTCCTTAAGTTATAAAGAGATTTTTAATGATATTTCTCAATATCCATAGAACAAATATGACGCAAATACCTGAGCGATCATGGAGCTAAGCTTTAAATAAAATTTTCGAACAATATCGCTTTTGTCTCGTACCGGAACGTCTTTGATTATGACGCATAGTTTTGCCTATGTGAATACAGTACATGGACTTTTCGTAAGAATACTGTGATCATTTTAGCGTAATTTTTAATTACTAGATGCAGTACAGTATGTAGACGATACCTTATACAGTTTGGGATCTTTTAATATATCGCAAAATCTTTGATATATTGTCATATCCTGATATCTAAAAAATTCCTTCTTTTTATTAGAAAAGGTTACAAGTAGATGAGTATTATAAAATGCAGTCTTTCTTTTTTGAACAAAAAAAATTAAACCTAGACAAGTTTTACTTTAAAAAGAATGAGATCCGATGTCACAGTATTGAATAGTGTTAAAAGCACGCCTACAGATTATTGTATAGTAATAGGTTAATACCAATTTATCCTAAAATATTACGTTGGGCTTTATATTTGCTTACTTTCTTGTAAATGCCTGTCAATCGACTTTATGCTTTCAAAATCTAAGGCTACGTATATGCACTGAGACGTAACAGCTTTAATTAAATTATAATTTGGTGAATATAGTGATTACGTCTTGTCGATGTTTATATTTAATGTTTACCGATTGACATCCAGACACCTTCAGTGCATCTCTAATTTAAAAAAAATAAAATAAACCAAAAAATAATTAATGGTGAAAACTAGGAAACCTATTTATTGCATGGGTGAATACTTACTCCTAAGGATGCATCAAATGTAGTTCCCACAAGGTGATTTAGCTTAAAGAAATAAAAAAAGATTAATTGACAAAAGAAAAAATAATCTATTTATAATTTGATTACTAAGTATTGTATACAGTATTTTTGTATCATACCATATTTGATTTTCCGCACGAAGACTCGCCCATGCTAGAAACCACTTTAACCTTGCGGTCACCAAAATGCCTAAATATTCCTTCATACCATCCAAATGAAATATTTTCAGCAATACTATAAAGATGAAGGAAACTATTATTATTTGATGTTAGCCCATCTTGAAGGGGCTGGAACACATTGTTTCGAGAAGCCGCAATTTGAATTGGGATTAGACAAAAAAGCCGAATAATCCATTCTCCAACATTAAATCTTGATGTCTTGTTTTCTTGAAAGTCAGGGTCACCAATATTAAGTTCCGAAAAGTTCATTACGTCTAAATTAAATATTTGTGTATTATTAACAATTTCTCCAAAAATGTTCTAATTAACGTTAGCTTTCGATTACCGATCTTGAATTTTTTTAGGCTGCTTGCTGGTTTTTTTGTGGAACGTTTTAATTCTTCGAACATCTTGTCGATATAATCTCTGAATATTTCTTCGTAATCTTCAACATTGCGACTAGACAAATCCAGGGTTATAGTCAAGCTCAAAGACTTATTTTGTTCAGTATCTATACAGCTATTAATTGGGTATTTTTCAAACATGTATTGATACACGTTGACAAAGCTATTAATATTTGTTTTGGGTTCAATTCGAAAATCCATCCAAGAATCTAGATCATCAATATTTGAAAAGGTTCCTGCAATCTTCAATCTCGTGTTTGATTGTATTTCAAGAACACATCTTTTTTCATTTTGAATGACAATACTTTCTCCAATAAAAACGTTCTTAGAGAATTGAGTATCCCTTCCTTCTAAAAAAGAATAGTTGTCGTTTCGGTGGTCGGATGCTAAAATCCTTACTTTTCCCATTGATTTTTCAAGTGTAATTTTAGTAATCAACGAACAAAACTGTCCATTAACTACATCGAGGGTAGTAAGATGCATTTGTTGTTTCTTGATATAAGAGAATTGAAAATGTTCAACGGATTGCATATTTTTTGGCATAGTTATAACTATAGTAACAAACAATTACAATACTGTAATTAATCGTAATAACCATATATAATATAATTAATGTAAATATCACATGCCTTTACTAGCAGGGCTACCAAATTTTGCACAAAAAAATACGTGTGCTTTAATTATTTCTATTTGATTTTTTGGATTATAATCGTCTGCTTTTTCGGTGTTACTATCAGCATCGTTGTTTTCGTTTTCCTGTTCTAACATGGTATCTTTTGTGAAAGCAACAATACATGCTCCATCGGGCGTACTTAGAACTTTGGAGAATTTTGGTGGTAATTGCAAAGAACTAGGTCGGAATTGATCTGAGACCATCATATAAATTCTGGAGCGACCATTCTTCTCAATGAAACATATATCCTCTGTATCTTTAATAAAGAAAAAATGTTGTATTTCCGGTACCATACAATTATACCACCGAACTAACTGAATATTCGTATGCCGTAGAAAAAGAATAACAAACTTCTCATCAAATGCGTAAACATTTAGCTAAATAAAAGTAGTTATTTGCAAATAAAATTTTCAATTAACACAATGATTCTAATTAATTGTATAAGATTACTTACATCTCCAGAACTGATATCATATAATCCAATTAACCCCTTAGGCTCATTTACGGAAATAAGACTATTTTTTCCTGCATATAATATTTTAAATGGTTTAGATTGAATAGATGATGATAGTCGGGATGCAGTGTCAAAATATATTTCCAATCGATTTTCTTTATTATTCCATAGTGCGAGAAAAAATTTGTTTTCAAATTGTGAAATATTCCTATATGTAGGATAGTTAATAAATTTTAATGCTCAAATAAACAATCTTTTAAATATAACTTTACCATATTTCGTGGGTTTCTGGATTTATTTGGAAAGAATTTCCGCTACATTTGTAATTGAATTTTAACGTGGGGATGTAAATTTCATCTTCAGAAAGTAGAAAATTATCTCTTTCATCAATTGATGTTTGATAGATTGTAATTTTGAGTTGATCGGACTGGAAGGTTTCAATTTCATATGATATTTTATATTCATTTGAAATGTGACTGGGCATATAAGATTTGCCGTATAAATTTAATATCATTAAAATAGGTCTGATGTAAAATAAAGCGGTTATTATAATATGTAAGTGCTATAAAACTCATATTAGCAAGAAGCTTACCCTTTAGGGAACTTATTTTCTATTTCTTTGCAGATTCTATTAAATTCTTCCTCTTCAATTATTTTTTTATAACGTAAATATTCTGAATCAAATTTTTTAGTAACTTCTCTCGTATAAGATCCATCGCATCTAGGAATAATCTCCTGAATATTTTTAGGAAAGATCTCTTTCTTCCACCTTTTATATTCCTTCAGAAAAATATCAATAAGTTCATGTTTTTGTTTGGAAAGGGATTCGAATTCTATTGAAGTGATTTCATTAATAAATTTTCTGTCGGGTGTTGTGTTAACTAATGTTTCCGCATGGTTCACCGCGAGATTGACTTTGGAGTCATAATTTCGAGTTATGTTATTTACTATCGCAAAAAAAAACGACCGCAAACTTTGATCTGGCCCCCAAAAATACTTTTTTATGAGTTTGTGGTAATCCAATTCTTCGTCCATGAACATTTCAAATACTGTCTGACACATTGATTGACACATTGATTGTCTAACTTGTTCAATTGACAACTGTGACTGTGTTTCTCCACCTTGATCCATGCTATTATTCTTATTGAATACATCCTGTACAAGAATGTTTATGAAAATGTATCTTTTTTTTAATTCTTTCCATTTTTTCGAATTTATCTTCAAAGCTTCTTCTATTTGATCACTTTTAACAGAATATTTACATTTTATATTTTCGATGCCTTTGTGAATTATATAAGATAATATATTAAAATTGAATTGAAAAATAATGCATAGTTATAATATATTTACTTACTTCGTTTCATAGTCTCATCAGGATGAACTTGTTGAGTAGCGGAATTATTAATTAATTCATTATCAATTATTTGTTCAAATTCACTGTTTAAATAAAAAAATGTTTACACAAAAACTTGATAAAACTTCCATATATTTTACATGATAATGAGGTCCATACGTGTATTCTTGTCTTAATTTTTTACAAACATATTTAGTGAAAATTTCTGCGTCTTCTTTTATGGAATCTCTTTCACGAGATTTCTTAAGCTCCATTTGCGTCTTAACATCTTCTAATTTCTTTCTGTAAAAACCAAGTAGCTCTGCTTCCATTTCTGGCAGCCCATTTTCAATCAACATTTCTAAATTTTTGAAACTCATATTGTTGCTAATACGTAAAGCATATCCATCAAGTCTATAACTAAAATCCTCTTTAAACTTTCTATGCTCAGTTTTTAGAACACCTTGAATCATTTTTGGTGTAGCATTAATTTTCTTTTTGGTGATTAATGTTTGACTAGTTACAGATTCGACCACTAAAATACTTAATTATAAATAATTATGTTATGAAATATTATACGAATTATTTTGGCCTACCAGTAGGTTGCAGAGGATATCCATCGCAAATATCTGAAATTATTTGTTGTGGCAAATGAATCTAATTTTGTTTAAGATACAAATATTGTTGAGTTGTTCAATGACCTAAATTTTCAAAAAATTTATAAATAACAATACTCAAAATGTGTAATTGCTACCTGAAATCCTGGCAATATTTCAAAATCTTCTTGCTTTTCTTGACTCTTTTTCACTTCATATTCATAGTAGACATCCTCATCAGAATCGTCTTCCCCGTCATTCTCCGAATTCCAAATAAAACATTCCAAGTCGGATTCACTCATTAAACAGAGTTGATGGTCCGTAAGTCTAGTAAGATATCTGTGCGCACGCGACGTATAAGTAGTTATCATTATTTTTAAAATAATAAAACAAATACAAAGTTAATTAAATTAACCTGTGTAAATTTATCATGTTTTTTTTTCTTTGAGATGAAATATTTTCCTCATAACATTCGGGTTCAGGCCAATGAATAACTAAACCTAATTTTAGTGAACTAATTAAGAGCAAATAAATTCCAGGACCCATGTAAAATTCTTCTATAGATGATTGTGAATTTACAAGTAAATTATATCTAAGGTATAGTATAATATCGTATTAAGTGAGTTCATCTGTATTAGTAAATAGACCGTTTCGTATGTATTTTCTTTTGTAAGATATCTTACTATAAGCGTAAAATAAAATACTTGCTTTTTTTTATCGATTATTTGTTGCCTATACAAGAGTTTCGCAATTAACGAATGATTTCCGTAACAACCAACTAGGTTAAACGAAACTGAATTTAACGCCGAATAGTTAACGTCCGAGAATGATTTAAAACTTGATGGGACCATCTTATTGCAAAATTCCTTTAATGATTCTTTCGAAATGATAAAATTGTCAACTAAAATAGAATAATGTTAATAAAGTGTCATCAAATACTTCCAAATTCATTTAATTGAATAATAGAATACACCAAGACCATTTGACCCTTCATCCTTTCGCAAGTCGATTAATAGATATAAACCGGGAATGTAATGAGATAAATCACGGGTCGATTGCGAGATATGTTCTTGGTACGATAGTACAAGTATTATTAATTAATTCGGTAAGAAAGACTAAAAATTTGTTATCTTAATTGTCAAGTAAAGACACAAAATATATATTGTCTTTAAATTACAACAAAATCAAATTTTTGTCGTATTCTCATAAGATAATTTTTAATTTTGAAATTTTATCATATATTACGCTACGCATGTATAAAATTAATATATACTGTAATTTCTCACCAAAGCTTTGTGAATAAAAATCGAAATCTTGGGGATCCTTCATAACGATGAAGTTTAATTACAGTGTTCAAAGGTTTCCGATGGTAATTTGTACCTTAAGTTCCTTTTAAATAATGCCCAGAGAATGTTTTCGACAAGTTATGATTACAGTATATATTTTGCATAAAATCATCCTAATTTGGATTCAATGACCATTATTTTACGGCATACTGTACTATAAAACTATGATTATGCATGATCACGGGAGCCGCCAAAAAAGTATCCAATCACTTGTCGAACTTCACAATTTTAAGTCAGTTTTATTATTATCAAGAAACATAATCTATGTTCTTATCATTATGGTCACTAATTAATACTGTATTTGTTGAATTTTTATTGGTATCTAATACACCTTAGTTTTTTTAGAAATATATTTACTAAACATATTGTATTATCAGAAAATTTAATATCAAACCGTACTGTTTGTATAGAATAAGTATTCGATTTTGATTTTGTATTTGAAATTAATTTTGAAATTAATTTTTATTGAAATTCATAATACTTTGATTTATAAATTTTAAAGATTTAAATCTTATTGTTAGAAAAGTTTTAAAAACCAAATTTTAAATACAATGATTTTAAATTAAAAAATTTATAATAATTCATAATAAATAAATAGATAATTTCATTTTTTTGAATATTAAGTACAGCATTTCTTATAATCTTTATCAATATAATAAATATTTATCTGTCACATATAAATATGAAGTCTTAAAATATATTATTATGCACATTATTTTATTATAATTAAGCATATTTTTGAAAATTATAATACTTAAAAAAGAAGGAAAAAAATTATCTAATAAAACATAAGTCATGCAAAAGAACCTGAAAAGCTATTTAAATGAAACAAAAATTAACTTTTCAAGTAAAATCTTAAAGAAATATTTTAATAATGCCAAAGACTTAATAATCCAAAATAATAATGAAAAATGATATTGTTATACTTAATTTTCATCCAATATCTTTATTATTCCTTGTTCAATTTTTGCTAACATTTATTCTTCAAATATTGTCAATTCTAAAATAATTTTTGAATTATTATTTCTATTATTATCCAGTATTGTAAATTTTGTGCTATTGTTATTTTAGAATATTTCTTATTTTATTTATTTATTTTTACTTTTTTATCTTTACTAAAGTATTTATTTTTATACTAATATATACATATTACTGTTCTAATAAATATAACATTTATTTTATATCTTTATAAGTTATATAACTTATACTTATTATACATACTGTACATGTGAGAGATATTGTTTTTTTTAAATATATACCTTATAATATATGAATAAATAAATAAATGATATTTACCTACTTACAAAAATATTATATCCTAAGACCTATGGGTCTATAGCACAGTGGTAATGCCCCAAAGGTCACCAGGAGAAGGTCTAGGGTTCAACCCCGCCTGGTTACAAAAACTTATCACCTTCATGATTGGTTGACCGGC